TCTTGAAAGAAGCAGCTCCACTAGTGTGTTTTTCTCACTAAATGCTGCCATTATAGGTTTTGCCATGAGCAATTTTACTGCTGCTTGTTGTCCCACTTTGCCGACATGGTGTTATGTTTTGTCTACTGCCATACATGCACACATCGGAAGTTGTTTCAGTCATAGGTATCGGTATCCACATCAGCATCATATACTGTGTTTAAGTGTAGTATACAGTATTAGTAGTAGTAGTATCGGTGCAACACTACTATTTAACTTGCTGTCTGAAGTGAATGCTCATTAGCTTGGAAATTCACAAAAGTCAACTTTACCACATAAAATCAAACTTCTTTCTACCTATTCGGAGTTGTACACGTGTACAGTAATGTTACATATCGGCTTAATTGTAGCCACAGAGAACACAAATAAATGCTTCTTTGAGTGCCTCCATACTTAAGAAACTCCTTTTCTGCAGAATACAATAGCATTTTCAACACTGACATGTTGATTCACATTGGATAAATATAACCTGAGGTTCTTTCTACTGTTCATTTTATAAGATAAAAGGCGCTGGAATCTTGACTGAAGTGGGAGCATGCAGTCTGCAAAACATGACTGATGTAACGTTTGGATAGAATCACTGAGGAACTCACTGGGTGCATTACCCCACTTCCTCATGTAAAACTAATCCTGTCCAAAAAGGGCTTTAGTATTTTGTGTCAGACGTATTGCCACAGACAAGACAAAATCCCAAGGAGCCACTTACCAACTTAACTCAGTATTTTGAACGGCAGTAAAATTTTAAATATACCCTTTAACATTTATATTTATGATTCTCTTTGTCTCTCTCAGCCCGTAACCAGTGTTTTGATGTTGTGCTGGTTGACACGGCTGGACGTATGCAGGATAACGCCCCACTGATGACTGCTTTGGCTAAGCTTATTGCTGTCAATACCCCAGACCTGGTGCTTTTTGTAGGAGAGGCCCTGGTGGGCAATGAGGCTGTGGATCAGCTGGTAAGCTCTGCATTCTTTCCATGATGAATTTGTATGTGTAATTGCAAGAGGTTGCTTTTCAGAACATAGTCCGGGTATTGCCAGTAGAAAGGACCGTCTTATAGAACAGTCGTTTTCTGTCCCAATACTGGGAACTCACTGCCCTTTACAGTTTCAGGTGTCCTGTGTCAAAGTCATGGAGAGCTTCATAATTACCAGATCAGGTGTTTGGGGCAAGAAATAGTTGAAACTGCAGGGCAGTGTAGCCCCCTCACCCCCTGGTGGTGGTGGTGTCAGTAGATGCCTTAATGCCTTTCCACATCTGACGTAGGTTACTGTTATTAAATGATCCTCAATGAGCTGTTTATATGTGCACTTCACATCCTTGAAGCTCACGAATGGCATAGCTGTCTGTTTGGTCTGTTGTTTAGGAAATTGAATCCTTATGCTGCTGGGAGTCTTTACTTAAAGGGCCCCTATTCTACATTCTTCTTGTATGTTTTTTTTTTATGAAAACAATATATGACCACTTATGTCTGTGGGCTTATATACTAAAACAGTAGACAATGATTTTTACATGACCGTTTACCAGCCTCGCTTTACAAACAGGCTGTTTGTTACTAGGCCTTTAATACTGATGTATCGTCGTCATTGGAACAAAACCTTGTTTCTCCATTTTGGTTGTTATTTTTTTTTTTTTCCATCACATAACTTGAAAATGCCAGCTGATGTTCACATTGTCTTGGAATTTTATGGCAAACAGACCAACAGTAATGGTCCAAAATGAGACAGAATAAAATTGTTACACAAAGTTGAAAAAATTACAATTCAGAAATTCAGATTTGTGTTTAAAATGTTAAATCTTGTTAGTGAATAATTTGTGTTCTAAAATGTGTCTGTAGGTTAAATTTAACCAGGCACTGGCTGATCATTCCATGTCTGATCACCCAAGGCTCATCGACGGCATTGTTCTCACCAAGTTTGACACCATTGATGACAAGGTAGGAGCTTTCCTTATATTACTACATATATATATGTCTGCGCATTTATTTGCTCACTTTATAATCTTAATATGTTTGCATGTGAACAAAAGATTTTGTGAGGGAACAGACTGATGCCTTTTATTTGTATGTTCTCTGTAGGTTGGTGCTGCAATTTCCATGACCTACATCACAGGTCAGCCTATTGTTTTCGTGGGTACTGGACAGACATACAGTGACTTGCGCAGCCTCAACGCCCGAGCTGTAGTGAACGCACTTATGAAGGCCTGAATGCCCACTGACTCAAGCCAAAGTCCTCACTTGGATCTGGTTCTGGATAGCCAATATTGTCCTCCTATTTGTCCTCCCAACCATGGAACAAATCTTTTGAAATGATCAAAGTTTCAACCTTCGTTGCTGAATTGCCTGCAAAATGCTATTTAGTATAGTTTGGCACATAATTCAGTTGAAGTCATTGATAGACTTGTGACTGAAAAGGCACAACTCTTACCTAGACTCTGTACAGGTATTACTATTAATGAATCAGTTGTTTCCTCTAAAAACTCGAATATAACCATTCTTTCAGATTAGGTAAATTCAAGTTACATTTAAGATTTTTGTTCACTAGGGGAAAATAATGAATTGTTTTCGGAAGTTTAAATGTGACCGATGTGATGAGTTACAGGGTCATTTGACATTGCATTGCTCCAGGACCAGACCCAGTGTAAGCAGTGTAGTGCCTGACATGCTTACATAGCCAACAGAAACCAGTGCTTATGAAAATCCCACCACTGCTAATTGCCTGCCTCCATTCCATTCTGTTAATTACAACATTCAAGTCTTGACTCTCTTGCACACAGATGAGCTTTATTCAGTATGCAAAAGGAAACTCTCGATTTTTATCAAGTTTATCAGAAAGATCATTATTTCTGTGGGCAGGGCAGCCGAAGTGTTTCCCTCGTTATGTGGTCTGTCCCAAACGTAGAGATATGGATCAAATATAAAGGAATAATAAAGGAAATCTAATATATTAAGTGTTTTTTCTGTTGCTCTTCATTTGTTACATTTTCAGTCTGATGTTATTACTGCACAATTATACTTTGTATTTTTGGTTTAGTTGCTGAGATTGTTGAAGGGTATGATGGTAATTTTTGTGCCCTTGGAAAACTGCCCCCAGAGACCTCAGCTAAAAGTAAACTTCTGTTACCATAGTGCCTATGCCATATTCAGTAACTTGTCGCATTGCAATGTGGTGGGTGTGTTATGCTTTCTGGTACATTGCAATTGGGCTTGTAAACATGGGAAAACCTGCCATACATTTCAGCCCTCTTGCTCTAAATGCCATCTTCCCTCTCCAACTCCTAGTAAAGCACAAGTGATCCACGTGAGTGTCTAGCCTGAAAGAGCCCTTTAGGTGGAATTTGAAAGGTGATCTCCAGCAAAAATGTTATGTTTTCAAAGGACAGAGCTGCTACTATTATTCATATACTTATTTTCATATTATAGTAAGAAAAATTCAGGCATATTAGAGAATTTGACAGAAAGATGGAACGGTTTGCTGTACAAAGTGACCAGACAAGGTGTCAAACATTTATTTCTGGATAAATGCACAGAGCTTTGTAGCTGCTGTTTAACTGTGGAAGATGACACTTGCTATAGATTGCCCTCCCTTCGGTGCATCTCTTAACAGGCCCACATCATGGAAATTTTAAGTTTAATAAAGTTATTAGTTTGTTATAAACAAAAGTTTGATTTAGTATGTAAACACTGAGTTTCAAATGTATCCTTCACTCCCTGGTCCGTATGGTCCATGTATGGAAACTAAGCTGCAAAAGTCATGAAAACCATTTGCATGAATCCACCCATTCATTCTACATTGGTTAGCCCTGAGGAGTGTTTCAGCCTGGACTGCTTTTTCTGTGAGACACAAAATCAGGCAATCAGAACAAATCTTATTTACATATAAACTCTTAAAAGCATGGTAACAAAAAATAGTACTTAATTCTAAGAGACAGGTTGAAAATGGAAGTGTAGGAATTATGACTTTTTGGTAAATATAATACACGTTATTGGTGGACCTTGGGGGATACAAAAGAAATGTAGCATATGGGCCTTTTAAGATTTGTAGACAGAGTCACAACCCTAGTTATTTTTCTGTCTCTATTCATAATTTGCCAAATTACAGTGGAAGGACTAGAGAGCAACACAACACAGAAATGAGAATGTGTAACATTTCCTAAATAAAGCTGCTAAGAATGTTTAATGACTACTTGTTTTCAATTCCATTAACATTTTTTGTGACTTCAGTCACACCTTCAACATGTGGTTGAAGTATGAAATTATTAGTATTTGACTATATGACTGCAGGAAGGGAGAAAGCTTGATAACTGGGTGGTTTGCTCCATAAAGAGTGACTCACACTTCAACTGAACATAACATGGCCTGTAATTCAGGCTTCTCGGAGCAAGAGTGCTGATCTTGGAATAGATTTTTCTCCTACCACTTTACTGACTGATGGAAAGAGATCCAAGATCAGCATTCTTACCCTCAGAAGCCGCATGAGCACAAGCTGTGAGGCTTGTAAAATGCAAATTTACGTGCTTCACTTTTCTGCTAGTTTAAAGTCAACCTGAAATCAAAACTGAACTCTCTTACCTTGTTACTCCAAGTCTGTTCATATCATTTAAAAGATGACATTTGTTTTTCTGTAATCTTCCATCAAATGTATCAACTTTAAAACGCTCTTACGATTATGTCATTATGCACCCAGCAGATGGGGAAAAATGATATGCTGTGATAGCATGTTTTACTTCCTCCTCCCAATATTCCTACTTACCCATTATCAAAGAAAAACACATATTAGCTCAGTGACCCTTTCAGTGTGTCACTGTACACAAGGAAAATGCATTAGGATTTCAGATTCACATAACTAACCACATATAACCTTGTTTGGACCAATGCTGTTTTCCCCAAATAATCATTCAGTATTGTGTGGTACCAAACAAAAGACTTTATTTTAAAACAGCGCTTATAAATAACTAAAATCAACAAAAACAACAAAGACATAGTAAAAATACAAAAGATTTATGAAGAACTCTTTACAACTTCTTTCTTTCATCCCTAAAGGAGTGGTCTAGCACTTGGTTGTCATAAAATAATTTGTTTAATGATCACAATGACTCAGCTGTCAGTGATGAATTTTTGAAGTTTTTTTTTTTCTTCTTTTTTTTTAACTCTCACTTTATCTCATGAAGTTTACGTGATCTTCTGTTATGTGATCAAGTTAAGGCCTGAGAACCATATACATTCAGTTATACTGCTCATTTAATTCAGCCAAACACAAACAATTTCAAGATTTTCCATGGGTGTGTGAGAAACATGTATGGATACGTTTTCAAGGTATTTGTTATGAGAAGAAAATTCTGGATTTCAAAGTATATTGTGAAACTACTTTAATTACTCTCACTCTTGCCTTCTAGGTGGGCAGGGATTGCTAAATGATACTGAACAGGATCTTCCACCTCTCATCCCATCTCTGCTTCTTTTACATCAAAACTCAGTGCACAGAGGGTCGTGGCATCTTTTCCTTTTTACCTGACAACAAGCAGTATAGCTAGTGAGTCTGAAGTCTGTTGTTGATGAGGAACCAGCAACACCAGACAAGACTGGAGGGGTCAGCTGAACTCTGTGACATTGCTGTGTCTTGACTGAGATCCTAGGCTGTCATGAGTTGTAATCTAGACAGAGAAAAAGGTAAAGCCACATTTAGAGAGCCACATCCAGTAAAACCTCAGTTCACTGCAAGCCACAATACAAAAAGTATTATCCTAAAGGGAAGAAGCCTTTATGTTTAAACAGTTTAAAGAATAAAAAAAGAAAACAAAGACGTTTTGGTGTATTCAAGTGGTTCTGCAGGCAACAAAGGGAGCAAATACAGTAAACCAAAAGAGCAGAAAATTATTTTAGAATATATACTACCATTCAAAAGTTTGGAACCACTTGTCATATTAATCATTTTTCTTATTTTATTCAATAATATCACATGTTGAATGAAATACTATAAGCTAGACACCAAATGGCATTTTAAGATGTTTTATTCAATATTTTTGGGAACATCAAAAACTTTTAGATACTTTTATATATAGTAATACACTGTAATATCCACTGTAATAAAATCCATTAGTATTGTCCATTATTGGTCAAATTAGTTGAATGGTTAAACTAACAAATAATATTTATACATAAAATATACAAAATAATCAAATTAGTTAAAGCTTATAAAGCTGTAGTGCAGCATTATATTACTAGAGACAGGAGAAAATCAGCTCCACTCTTGTTTCAGATCTGAAAAAAAGAATCCACCGGCGTTTTTCCATCCTTCTGCTATGAGAAGACAACTCAACACTGCTGGTCTGAAAGGATATGCAGCTGTCAAGAAACCATTACCGAGAAAAGGAAATTTACTAAAAAGAAGAACATTTGCAAATCAAACAAATAACCTGCTCGCATTGTCAGAACAATGGACTGGCCAGCAAAAAGCCTAACATCACTGAATATTTTGGGGGTTACTAGGGGTAGAAAATTCAAACAACTTTGAAGACTGAACTAACAAATAGTGGACACACTAAATACCGAAAAAAATTATATTTAGCTGTTCAGGCTTCTGTGCCTCAATTCTTCATGGCAAGGATTCCACAAATTGTTGGAAACCTTCCTTTGAGATTCTCTGGTCCATACAGACATGACTGTATGGACCAGATTTAAGATTTTTCAGTTGCACTTTAATGCTGTGAATCTCCTGTTCTTCCACATCATTCAGGCATTCTGTTGGATTCAGATCTGGTGACTGGGAAGGCCACTGAAGAACACTGAACTCATTGTCATGTTCACGACAGGGATGCACATGGTCACCACCTCCATATTCCTAGACTGTTCACTGTTGGGTCAATGGATTCATGCTGTTGGCACCAAATTCTAACACTACCATCTGTGTGCCTCTGAAATCAAGAATCTTCAGAGCAGGCAATGTTTTTTCAGTTTTGGTGTGCCCAGTGCAGCCTCAGCTTTCTGTTCTTAGCTGACAGAAGTGGAACTCGATGTGGTTTTCTGCTGTTGTAGTCTATCCACCTCAAGGTTTGACGTGTTATCCATTCTGTGATGCTTTTCTGCTTACCATAATTGTACAGAGTGGTTATTTGGGTTACCATAGCCTTTTTGTCAGCTCAAACCAGTCTGGCCATTCTCCATTGACCTCACATCAAGGCGTTTCCATCTGCAGATCTGCCATTCACTTGATGTTCTATATTGCACAATTATGTGTAAACTCTAGGGGCTGTTGTGCGTGAAAATTCCAGGAGATCAGCAGTTATAAAAATACTCAAACCAGTCTGTCTGGCACCATCCATCATGCCATGGACAAAAATCACTGAGATCACATTTTTCCCTGTTCTGATACCAGATGTGAACATTATCTGAAGCTACTGGCCCATATCTGCATGATTTTATGCACTGCACTGCTGTCACACGACTGGCTGATTAGATAATTGCATGAAAGAGCAGTGTTCCTAATAAAGTGCCTTATATATAATAAATGAATATTGTTACTTAATGGTAATTTTAATTGGATGTGAAATAAATGAAGGGCTGTCTGTGACTTTTGCACAATACTAGTTTTATATTATTGAAAACAATGATTCCAAATTTTTGAACTGCAAATCCGAGCCTCTGAATGGTAGTGAACATCAGATAACATAAAAAACCCTAACCTTGTAGGAAATTTTTCTGTGTACTAAAGCCATTTTGGTTTTCCTCTAGGTCTCGTATTGGAGATCCTGTGAGAATCAGAACATAGTTAATCTACCAGCACACAACATAATCATGTTCACTCAATTTCTAAAACACTGGTGTACATGTTCAGGTCTGGCATTTTCCTTCTCTAACACATCTGATTGAATTCAAGAACTTAATTAGGTGTGTTAATTAGAAGAGTTTTTACCATAGATAAGTGTGTTGCTAGACATGACACAAAGCAGGCTGAACTTACTATAATGCAGGGCTTTGAACGACTCATCGCTTTTATAAAATGGTGATAAAATACATTATGATAAAATATACCAACATTTAATAAATATTATTAATAATGTATTCATGTTAATAGCAATAACCAATTATTCTGCTAAGCAATGTCATTTGTTAAAAGGCCCATATCCTACATTTTTCTAGTATTTTATTCTTTTCCCCTGGAACCTATTTATAACATTTGTGTAGGTTTTTGTACCAAAAACAGTCTTCGTTCATTTTTACATGACCATGCTTTCTTTATCCCTATGAAGAGAGTTTTTGTTACTGTGCATTTAAGAATTATATATGTAAATGAGCTATGCTCTGATTGGTCACCCTGTGCTGGGCTTCATTCAAGAAGCAGTCCAGGCTGAAATACCCCTTCTAACTAACATTAAGGGGTGGAGCTAAACTGCTACAGGCTGAATAGGTGGACAGGGTGACAAAAACATGAATTCTTATTAGTCTGAACAGTCATTTTCCATACAGATTGAATGGACTGTGAAGTGAATGGTTTGTTTTGAAACTTTAACAATGTCTACATACTACATCAAGTATTTTATTTAAAAATGACAAGGAATATTTGGTTTCCTATTAAATTGATGATTTTACAATATACTATGTTTGCATAACTTTTCTTGATATATCTACATCATTCTTTGTGATTTTTAATAATTTTAATTAAATCAACTGATGCGTGCAAGCAAGTCTGTGTGTGTGTGTGTACATATTATTTGACTCAGTCAGTCAGATTTTAGAAAAAGGACTATTCATTTTATAACATTTTGCACCAATGTCGTTCTAATGTGACTTTTACATCTTGCTTTAGCAAAGCAGAAACATATCATTTGTGCTCACCACAGCCATTGGTCACCACGTCCCTGTTGCAGATCTCATTGGCCAAACGCTCAAAGTATTCGGGCAGGTCGGCATACTCATTACCATAAGAGATGACCTTAATGCCCTTGTCAAGCATATTGTCACGGAGCTTTTTGAACTCTCCAACATCCTCTCTGCGCACCAGCATGAAATGCTCCAGATCAGACTTGTGTTTGACTGCCTCTAGAAACAGTGCCTGGAAGGTGGTGTCATCAACTGTCCGTCCACAGCCCAAGAATACAAATGATTTAGTTTCATACAGCTTCTGGATCTCCCTCTTTAGGACAAAAAACAATACAGTTATTGCTGACCAAAAGTGACCATAACCTCAGTAAAATCGTCCAAAATGACCTTCTAAATAGGGTGACCAGACCATAACTGTTCAGTCACAAGACAGCAGAACTGTGTTTGTGCAACAAGACACCCCACAAGGGGCATAAATTAGTTTGTCCAATCATGTTGATTTAATATTAGACAGCATTTGCATCATTATAGAATATGTATGTTGAGTTCCCTGAAAGAAATCTAATGCATTACTTTAACTTAAGCTTCTAGCAAATTGCACACAGCAAATAGCACACAGTGAAAACATTTCAGTGCAAAAATGTCTATTTCTCTTAGCTACGTTTAACGTTTTTGGGGAAAAAAAAACAACAAAAAAAACACAAAATGTACCATAATGTTTGCACAGGCCACATTTATTTTTATATTTTCCTTATATATAAAAGGATATCATCTAGAAGGCAGCACATGTTGCTGCAAAATGAGTTTTTATCTTTCACTGTTAATGCCTTCACAGATGTTAAAAGTTACCTGTGCAATGGGCACTAATACATCCCCATACCATGACAGACCAGGACAGTATTCCTGGGCCTGTATGGTTCATCTAACAAGCACGCCGGTTTTGCCATTTTTAGCGGAGTGATAAGCCTCAACCCATCATTCCTCATAAAGCACTAGGCCTTTGACAGATGCACCTTTTATATCCAAGCATAATTGCATCACCTGTTTAATGCTTTTTTAACATTTCCCTACATTCCTATTAAAACTGTCCCTCACAACTCTATGTGTTGAATGTCTTGAATGCGTTGCAGACATTAATTTCAGAACAAGTCTCTAACCAAACAGGTCAAAGTGGATCACTGCTTACTGTCACATACTGTCCCCAACAAAGCAAATGCTCCGTGTTCAAACCAAACCTGCCAAATATACATATGCCTTAAGACACTGATGTAAAAATATTGAATCATATAAAAATCTTAGTGAGCTTTAAGCTCTTATAGCCTTGGGGACTATCCAAAGCTGTCTGGTGGTTACTGTCAATTCTAGAACTAGAGATAAGGAAGAGGCCAAAAAAAAAATCTACTCACCATGACTTCAGTATTTCTCAGAACATTCTGATAACCAGCTGGATGCAGCACAATGCCACTGGGGTTTGTGTAAACGCCATGGATATGGAGCACACTCAGCCGCCTTTTCTCTTGAGCCCACTCCAGGACCTACATTCACAGACACAGGCACAATTACACACGTTTAACTGGGCATCCAACTGTCTTTCCAATGAAATGGATTGTCTTTTCCACTTATTGAAAGGCAATGAAAACATTTCAACTCATTAAATTACCTCATAGGACACTGCAACTGAATGATGCACGCTGCAGTTTTGTTTTTTTGACTACACTGAAGTAGCCGATTGTAGAAGACGTAGACTGTAGCAGATCTAGGTAATGTGCTGATTCTAATTTAAGCAAACATGTCCAGCCACCACACAGCATTTAGGCAATCTGGCAAGGGCACACTGGCCCTTGTCATGAAAGACAAACTTCCTCTGAAGGTAGAGAGGCTAAACAATGACTCACTTTTTCTTCTTTGAATCCACAATGGTTTAATAAAGAAAATATCTGTTTTATACATAACTGTTGACAGGGAAGATTTGGATGGAAGATGTTTGATTGGATAAAGTTTATGTGCTTTGAGCGGGAACCAAAAGTTTAAATCATAAGTCGCTCTCAGGATACTTGTTAAGGTAGGTAGCCTGCAAGTGAGACTGAACGAGCTAACTTTCTAGTTTGTGTGGACAACTGATATACTCTCAAAATAAAATAGATAAGTCTGTAGTCCCATTGCAAGCATCTGTGTAACATTAAAACAAATAGGAAACAGAAAATAGTCTGTGTTTAATTTGGGTTCCTTCATTTCCATAAAACAAATGCAAGAGAATTGGCCACGATGAGCAAGCAGAGGGATCCAGCACAGCGGAAAGTGGCAAGAAAAAGTGGATGGGTGGACTTTAAGCCTGGAGCACCCTCTATAGTGAAAATGTCATGTCTTAAAACACAAAGTTTTGTCTTGGATGCAAAGGGTGATAAACCAGGATGGGCATTTATGTACCTATGGCAGCTTTCCAGCATCCTAACATATGACTGGCAGTGACACAGTTTGGTTATGCAGTGTGACAAGATCCTCTAGTCAATCGTTCTAGGACAAGTCAGAGATTATATCTGTAATGTAGACCATACATTCAACATGTAGAGTTTCGACAATAAAATTTTACCCAGAGTTCCTCATAGAGTGTGACATCATAAACAACTCCTTCTCTGGCACAAAGTAAACTCACTCTTAAATCATTCAAACATGCTTAATTTCAACAGACATTACCAAACACAGATGACAGATTCAGCAAAGGCAGTCCATAAGGAAAGTTTTCAGATAGGATGATGTCTAAATTATAAATAAATGCAACCTGGCAGTTGTCAGCAGCTAGGGTTGTAAGACAAGAGCTCGATCGGAAGTGACTGATGGCACAGATGATCTAATAGTGTGAGAGGTGAAACGAGTGAATGTTTAGTCCTGTAATCGAACTCTGATGTGATTGGAGGCCCTTCGATATTATCAAGCATGTTTGATATTTACGACTCAAAACTTTCACGAACACCACCTCCACCTGAACAGCGGAACGTGGCAGATTAGAGCCATTATGATGTTTATAATGTATGGAACCAGACATCAAAGCATTCTTTTTACAATTTCAAGTCAGCTGCCAGTTTGTAGTGAAATACAGCTCTCACTGTATCAGCATTTCTCAACCTCACATTAATCTGCAGTTTGCGCTTTCACTGCGCATTAAGCACAAACAGGTCCGGGTCCAGTAAGTTTAGCTTTATTTGTGCCGTGATATCTGAGGAGATCTGGGATTCTGAGTTCTCATTCATAGCCAAAACTCATTAAATGTGTTATACTCTCTCTTCGCCTTGTCGTCTAGTGTGAGCTCCCTCATGACGAAAAGACAATAAATTCTGTGACAACTTGACGTTAAGTTTGTGATGCTCTTCATCTTAGAAATCTGTTAAGATTTTAAAAGTTGTGTAGTGTACGCCCAGCCTAAGAAACATTTCAAGATCACAGCTACACTGACTATTCTCATTAACAGAGAACGGCCAAAAAACAGCAAAATACACTGGCTCTTATTCATCAAAGTTGTGTAGAAAGAAATGCAGATTTGACCACCCTGAATAACAATATGAAATACTCATGAGCCAATGATTGTGCCCATAAGCAGAGTCTCTCTACTAGCCAGAGGTTAAATAGCTTTAAATTACACCAGTTGAAAAGAATAAAATGTTAACTGTTCAAAACACTGTACCTTTTATCCAGATCGAAGAGTGATGTGACTGTCTGATTATTTTCAAAAAACACTGTTTTTAGTAGTATTACTGTGACTTTCTATTTTTAGTGTTATTGCTGATATTGATAGTATTAATAATTTTGATTATCCAACAGCAAATTTTATGCAAATTCAAAATGCATATTACGCTCAAATATGCACACACATCATGAGACATGTGTTTGATCATGCATATATGCCAAAAAAAGAAACTGATGAATAACAAAACTCTGTAAAATTTGCATGCGCTCATTTTATCTGTTAGATTTGACAATCCTGAAAAATAAGGGCACTACAGTTATTAACTGACTTTTGATTAATAGTGAAGTAAATATTAAGTCCTCTTTTGTCTTTTTTAGCACCTTTTTTGGCAAAAGGGAATAACGTTGCTTAATTTGCAGGTTGATTTTGGTTGGTCAATTTATGTATCAGTGGCGGCTCTAGGTTGTGAGCCGCCTTTCTCCTATCAGAAGGTAATATGGAGTTCTTTCAATATTTACTTTGAGAGTTTCAGTTGTAACACTGTTAAAATTAACTCCACCATGTGGAGGCTGTACTTTAACCTGGCTAACGCTCACTGCGAGGTGATTATATGCTTCAAAACAGTTGTATATTACATGCACCAAAAGGGTATTTACAATAACATAGTTTTCTCCCTTAATAGGATCAAAGTGCTTGGGAACGTGAGCTGGGCTCTATTTTGACAGAGCAATGGTAGGACAAAGCCATATATAAAGTATGTTCAAGTGTTCTGTGCGCAAGGCTTCAGTTGATGCAAGTTAAGGTATTACACAGAGTTCATAGATCCAAGTCCCACTTATCAAAATTTTATCCAAACGTCAGTGATCAGTGTGATAAATGTGATGCTACCCCATGTAATCCAAGTCATATGTATTTTTTTGCCCTTCTCTGCATAAATTTTGGTTTGACTATTTTCAGATAATGACTAAGGTTTTAGGTTTTAAAGTTAGTATGAATCCCTCTGTTGCAATATTTGGACTTTCCACTGATCTGCCCCCACCCACTGGAGTTCAGTCCGATATCCTAGCATTCACATCCTTATGACCAAAATGTCATATTTTATTATTGTGGAAGTCCTCAAAACCATCTTCAATTGCATTATGGCTCCGTGATGTTATGCATTTTCTTAAATTGGAGAAGATTAGATTCACGATAAAAGGCAACACTGCTGCATTTTATGCTAAATGGAATTCTTTTCTTTTGTATTTTGAAGGTTATGCCGGCAGATTGATTTTTTTTTTTTTATTTTCCTTCTTCCCCCCTTCAAAGGTAAGGTTGTTTTTATTGTTGTATTGTTTGGAAAGTCTTGGTGTGTCGGTGTGTGTACGAGTGTATGTGGTGCTGTAGGGTATATGTAATCAAAAGATGTCGCCAGTGAACTGAGCTATTGGAGGCTTTTCACTGTTTTGTCTACTGTTTATCATCCTGTTTTTCTCCACTTGTCTGATGTATCTGTTTGGTTCCTCAAATTAAAATAAAAGAAAAAAAGAAAAAGACAAAGAAAATTATTAATTTCGTTGAACAAAAGCAGACTTCACGGCAATTCGAAAAATATCTGATTACTTGTGGAAAATCACAGATGATGCTGCTATGGGAATACAAGATCATGACCAAAAGCACCTTCTACGGAGACCTGTTTAACAACATAAAATAGGTTGTGTCCCACACCCCCCTACTTATTTCTCACACATATGTCACACAATACCGTCATAAAAAATACATTTATATGTAATCATAAATTTAAATAAATTCCTATATAAATAATAGCCTCTTTAAAAACTGCTCAGACTTGCTCTGAAACACAGACAATGGCTATCAACAAGCCACAAAAATGCTACAAAACACAATGCATCAGTACCAAGGTGTTCTGTACCTTCTTTTCATCTGTGAGGTCCAGGGATTCTAACTTAGTGCCTTGGTGAGCTGCGTAGATTTCCAGCAGATTGTCGAAGTTTGTGGTGAGGACCAGCGCCCCGCTTTCCATTAGCTGGAGCACGGACCGCAGCAGGTGCTTCCCTGCATGCTCCATCTTACACTCCAAATCATCAAACACTTCATACAGGCAGTCCTTAAAGAAGGTGGAACGCACATTTCCTGTCCGCTATACACAATCAGAAACAAAATTGCGTGAGTGTGCTTAGGGAAACAACAAAGATTAAGAAGTCTAAATAATGTTCTAGAACAATTTAAAGCAGTGATCTCCAACTCTGGCCCTGAAAAGCTACTTTCCTGCAGAGTTTAGCTCCAACCTGTATCCACTAATCTGCCCCACCCTTTACTTAACTCTAATACATCTGATCCAACCAATAGGTAAGACGATGAGCTGGAACAGGTGTGGCAAACTGTGATTGGAACTAGGCTCTGCAGGAAGGTAGTTCTACAGGATCATGGTTGGAAATCGCTGAATTAAAGAAATACTCTAGCACAATCTCAATTCTACAGTAGGCAAAAAGTAAATAAAAACAGGCTTGAGTGACAAGTTATTTAATGTTTCAACTAATTAAAATTATTGTTTTTTGTTTATATATGCTTATTCTAAATTGACGCCTATAACATGCTCCAAAAACTTTGGGACAGAGGCATGTTGTTGATATATGGCTTCTGCTTTGCATAGCAGAATCTTAATTTGCATTTGTATGTGTTTAATGACAAGGGGTGACAAGGTTTAGTCAAGACGTGGTTATATTCATTACAGAAGCAAGTCAGTTTTTAATGCAGTGACATCGGAAAGATCAAAGGTCACTGGCATTTAGTGCTGATTTTCATCCTTGCCCTTTATGCACAGAGATGTCTCAGAATTCTCTGATTTTTTTTATAAATGATTCTGTACATGCAATCTACACATTTCTTGTAATTGTGTGTTGAGAAGAGTTGTTATCAAACTGTAACTGTTCTTAAACTGTAGACACACCTTTTGGCAAAGTGGTGAGCCTGGATCCATCCTTGCTCATAAAGGACTAGGCCTTTCCTGGATGCTTTTATACCCAAGCATGACAAAAAGATGGTTTCTGGAACATTTCACAGTGTTCCTAGACTTAAATTGCCTGGATTTGAAACGTGCTGGAGGCAGTTTCAGAGTATGCATATATTAACATAAAAAAAGACAGTGAAATTGATAAAACATTTTGCCTTTATACTTCATACTGTGTTCATTAAAGTAAAAGAAAAGTAAAATGAAGTGCTTTTCTTAAAAATTTCACATTCTGTCAAAGCTTTTTTGAAATTGGGTTTGTACTAAAATATACCAAAAAGCCAACTCTGTGAATAAATATTTATAGTACATGACTATATATTGCAAAGGTGAAAACTGACAATTAGTGAGACAATGAGACAGACATAAGAGAATGTCTTACCAAAGCTGTTCATATTAAGTTTTATCCAACTATCAAAGACTACAGAAAAAGAAAGTTTAAAAGCAGTTTTGGTTATCTTTAAGGTTTTTTGTTATACACGGTGATCAGGTGGAGTGTGTGGAGTGTGGAGCATGCAAACTCCTCCCTCTGGAAAACTAGTCTTATCTCGGAAAGAACAAACTACACAGATTTACAGCTTAATTTGCAAATCCCTTTGGCTGAAGAATTCATGAAAATGTTCTGAAAAACTGTTTCACAAAGAGTATTCCTTTCAATATGACATTTAAAGCTGTATTATACTTTGAAACACAGACCCCCTTATTTGCACTTTAACCAACACCACTCACAATCAGGTGCGAATAGCTATGGTGTGAAGATGAATCCAACATTTTTTTGAAAGATCAGATTGTGATTTTTAGAGCACAGAGAAATTATCCCACCCTTGTGTGCTCCCAGCTAATCCTTAGAGCAAAGCACAAAAGAAGAACAAACAGAATATTTCTGAGAACAGATCTGTCCATTTGCTTTGTGGTTTCTTAATTCATCTTGTCAATGGCTTCTATTAAAAGTGAACAGGCATTCTGTACTTTCAGAGCTATTTTTACATGTGTTTGATAACAGGTAAGGTGTGAAACAACATAACAAAATGTTGGGAGGGAAATACATCTTTTCTCATTGTTTCCCACACACAGGTTATACTTCGTGGTATGCTGGTATTATGGAAGCATATCAGTAGCATTAATATGTAAAATGGCAGAGTATTCTTATGTTTGAATTTAAATATCCCACACACATATGCAATTAAGGACTCAGAATGAAAATTCACCAGCCTCCAGCTATCCAGTCTGAGACAGGATATTGAGCACTGGGAGCCCCATCCCTCTCTCTGAACGGACAAATTACTTTTTAACAGTTCTTTCTTTCAATAAATCACCCCAAATTAAAAGAAGTGTACTGCAGAAATCTCATACAATGGGAGAGATGGCGCTCCCAAATTTCTTGTATTATTACCGGGCAGGAACATTGCTATACTGGGTTAAGAACAATGTCACAATACCTGAATTGTCAATTCTGGAGGGGGCATCCATTGGGTCTACTTCTCTAGGTGCTTTATTGTGTTCTACCATTCACACAGCCTATTTCTAGCTTCACCTCTAACCAGGTTATTATTCACTCAATTAAAATTTGGAACCTGTTTAGAAGATCCTTCTCCCTTGGGGGCCTGTCACAAGCAGCAACAATTGCATAAAATCACAAGTTTGTCCCATCATTAATGGACGAGACTTTTTGCTACCTAGTCTAAAAGGGCTGTGGTCAGTTTTGCTTTTAAACAGAAATGCCAAAATACCCAAATCACACTTTTATGGGTACTTGCAGCTCCGTAACTTTGTAGCTTCAAACTTGGATTGTTTTCTGTTATGCCCTCCCACTTCTCTGTTAGAGTTTTTAACTGCAAAGTGGTTAAAATCAGTCTATATTGTATAATTTATGAACTACTCAACACATACAATTCGACTTCTTTAGACCTCCTTAAAAGTATATGGGAAACCGACTAAGACAAACTAATATCAGAGCACAAAATAATACAGAGAATGTTCTCCTGTTCCATATGTATAGGGCATGCTGTTATTCAATTTAAAAGTGTCAGTCAGACATTGTAAAATCAATGCCGACATAGACCCCACATGTGATCAACGCAGGCAGGCCCCAGCCTCTCTCTTGCACATGTATTGGACATGTCCAAAGCTCTACTTTCTAGCAAACCATCTTTTGAGGGCTTTTCGAGAATATTTGGAAAAGTCTCATTGCATTTTTGGTGTGGCCCCTGTGGATACCCCTCTTAGTAGGTGGGAAATCAACATGACGGCCTTCTGCTCTCTCTTGGCCAGGAGACTAATATTGTTTAAATGGAAAGACCCTATTCCACTGACAAACACTCAGGATCAGAGAAGTCAAGTGTCATCTCAAATTGGAGAAGATTACATACACTGTCAGAGGGTCTACTAGGAATTCTAAGGCATTGTAATAACTGCCAAGTGTAACAGAAAAATTTGAACAAGAAGCTGGTGAATAAGAAGCTTTGTAGTTTTAATGCTGGAAGTAATTATTGATAAGCGGATTTAAGCTATCAAAATATCATATCCAGAGGTTTTATGTAAGGAGTTACCTATAAATATGTGCTACAGCAGGACATTTTGACAAGCCTTATTTCATGTAGCTTAGTGACGCAAACTGAAGCACAGTAGCATTAGCTTGCATGCAGGAGTATTAGTATTACGACTCAAACAACCTTGTAATTCAGGCAATTCAGAGGATCCAGTGATATACAGGAGAGAAGTATGCACAGGAAAAAGCGCAACAGGATCTGAATATTTTTATGTACCACAGGGCACAAGAGAGCAGATTTTTGAAAACCTCATTCTATTTGACCAAAGAGCATTCGAGCTTAGACCTGGAGCCCGAAATATGCGCATAACATGAACTACAGAATGACAAACAATACCTAAACGCACCCAATGGTACAGCAACACAGTTCAAGGTGGAATTAACTAAAAGCGGTGGCTGAAAGACTTCATAAAAAGAAGAATGGGGAGGCCTGTCATACAGATTCCAGTTGATGCTATATAAGGATATCTTCTACAAAAGATGCGGATATATTGCTCTGTCATCACCTCACCAGAAAATATGCTCAGAGAATTGTAAAGGGCTGCAGAATCAAGTTAGCTAAAAGCTACTGGTAATGCTAGCTAACACTACATTCCCAAACAAGGCCCCAATCTGCTGTTTTCTCCAGCTGGCTAACATGAACCAGCTCACTGTCACACATACCAGTGACTTTTGTAATATTTATTGTTAGAATACCAAACCCCTTGCTGCTTTCAATTGAAATAGAACATTGTTGCCTACTCAGCCAATATGACTAGAAGGCTGTGTCATCTACATATGCCTATGTGTACCAGTACAATTACAATGAAATAATTTTCAGTACATTTTTGGTAGCAGATAACGTGGAGCACAGCAATACATACACAACTGATGCTCACTTTTGACATCAGAAGATCAACAGCCCTCGATTCTGTAGTAAACTACATCTGTAGCCTACAATCATGTAATTAACCACTTTTAAAGTATCTTCTGTAATTCAAACACTTCAGTTTACTGTGACGGGTGGAAGGGGGTGGTACATCTTGTTTTATAGCACTAACAAAGATATCAGATAAGAACTGAGCAGCAGGTCAAACCATCCGTTTTGTCATTTACATGACAGTTTGTTGACAGAAAGAAACATGAGCATACTGACATTTACTCATTAGCCCAATATAGTTTCACAGGGTAGAAAATACTCATGCTCAAAGAACAACGCCGCAGGAGTGTTTTTAAACAGTGGTCAACTATGGAGTTAGATTTATGCCAAAACATATCATATTTGTAAATTGTGATTTGAAGGTGTACATCAGCTTTTGATTGTGAATTTATTAAAGTACAACAAATACAAGTTATTTTGGGGTCTTAGCCTATTCAGTTCCATTTTCACATGTGCAAATTTGCATTTTGCCTACATTTTGTACTACTTTACATTATTCAGATCAACTTGTACAATTTTGCGTTTCAGTTTACTATGTGCAAACCTTTGGCAGTTTTGTTGCACTGCTACCTGAACCACAACTGTACAGTGTACCATGAAATCTGCATATTACTTGTAAATGATGGATGTATTACAGTATGAGAATATGAAATTAAAAAGGCA